CCCTATAACTTCTGCATTACTGTTTTTTAACCAGGCTTCATTCAGGTCTGTAGTTATTCATTAGTTTTTCATTATTTTGTTTAATTTTTTTCCTTCGTTTAACTTTTTTTTTAAATTTCTTTCACCAATATCTCGTTTCTTGATCTCTTCTCTTTAATGTTTTGTTTTTTTCTTTTCTCTGAGTTCTCATTTTCATTCTTTTCTCTCCTTCACGGGATTCCTTCTTTTTTTCGACATTTCGTTTTGCTCTCTCTTCTTTTTGTACCGATATTTTCTTCTTCATTTCTTTCTTTCTTTCTTTCTTTCGTTCTTTCTTTATTTCTTTCATTCTTTCTGTCTGTCTTTCTTTCATTCTTTTTGGCTTTCACACATCTTCTTCTTCAATTTCGCTCTTCTTCTTCAATTTCCTTCTTCTACACCAATTTCGATCTTCTTTTTTTTCAGTTTCACTTTTCTTCTTCTCTTTTACTCTTCTTTTTCTACAATTCCACTCTTCTTCTTCCTCCTCCTCTTCTTCAATTTTACTGTTTTTCTTCAATTTGACACGACTTCTTTTTCAATTTCCTCTTCTTTATCTTCTTTGTCGGTTTGCCTCTTCTTCTTCTTCTTCTTCTTCTTCTTCTTCTTCTTCTTCGTCATCTTCTTCTTCTTCTTCAATTACACTCTTCTTCCTCCTCTTCTTCTTCAACTTCACTCTTCCTCTTCTTCCTCATCTTGTTCTTCAATTTCACTCTTCATCTTTTTCTTCTTCTTTTTCTTCAATTTCAATTTTCTTTTTCTTTTTCAATGTCACTCTTAATCTTCTTTAATGTCACTCTTCTTCAGTTTTACTCTTTTTCTTCTTCTTCTTCTTCTTCTTCAATTTCACTATTATTCTTCTTCAATTTCATTCTTCTTCTTCAATTTCATTCTTCTTCTTCTTCAATGCCACTATTCTTCTTCTTCAATTTCATTCTTCTTCTTCTTCAATTTCATTCTTCTTCTTCTTCTTCAATTTCATTCTTCTTCTTCGATTTCATTCTTCTTCTTAAATTTCATTCTTCTTCTTCTTCAATTTCGCTATTCTTATTCTTCAATTTCATTCTTCTTCTTCTTCAATGCCATTATTCTTCTTCAATTTCATTCTTCTTCTTCTTTTTCTTCAATTCACATTCTTCTTCTTCTTCCATTATTTCAATTTCATTCTTCTTCTTCTTCTTTTTTCAATTCTTCTTCTTCTTCAATTTCATTCTTCTTCTTCATTCTTCAATTTCATTCTTCTTCTTCAATTTCATTCTTCAATGCCAATTTATTCTTCTTCTTCAATTTCATTCTTCTTCTTCTTCAATTTCATTCTTCTTCTTCAATTTCATTCTTCTTCAATTTCATTCTTCTTCTTCAATTTCATTCTTCTACACCAATTTCATTCTTCTTCTTCAATTTCATTCTTCTTCTTCTTCAATTTCATTCTTCTTCTTCTTCTTCAATTTCATTCTTCTTCTTCAATTTCGATATTCTTATTCTTCAATTTCATTCTTCTTCTTCTTCAATGCCATTATTCTTCTTCAATTTCATTCTTCTTCTTCTTCTTTTTCTTCAATGTCACTATTCTTCTTCTTCAATTTCATTCTTCTTCTTCAATTTCATTCTTTTTTCTTCAATGTTTCTATTCTTCTTCTTCATTTCATTTCATTTTCTTCTTCTTCTTTATACCAATTTCATTCTTCTTCTTTTCTTCATTCACTATTCTTCTTCTTCTTCTTCTTCTTCAATTTCATTCTTCTTCTTTCAATTTCATTCACTATTCTTCTTCAATTTCATTCTTCTTCTTAAATTTCATTCTTCTTCTTCTTCAATTTCGCTTCTACACCAATTTTCTTCTTCAATTTCAATTTCTTCTTCTTCTTCTTCTTCTTCTTCTTCAATTTTCTTCTTCAATTTCATTCTTCTTCTTTTTCTTTTTCTTCAATGTCACTATTATTCTTCTTCAATTTCATTCTTCTTCTTCTTCTTTTTCTTCAATGTCACTATTCTTCTTCAATTTCATTCTTCTTCTTCTTCAATTTCATTCTTCTTCTTCTTCTTCAATTTCATTCTTCTTCTTCTTCTTTTTCTTCACTGTCACTATTCTTCTTCTTCGATTTCATTCTTCTTCTTCGATTTCATTCTTCTTTTTCTTCAATGTCACTATTCTTCTTCTTCATTTTCATTCTTCTTCTTCATCTTCTGCTACAATTCACTCTTTCTTTCTTCCGCAATTTCTCACTTCTTCTTCCTCTTCTTCTTCTAATTCTTTTTCAATTTCTCTCTTGTCCTTCTTCTTCTTCTTCTTCTTCTTCTTCATGTTTTCATTTTTATTTGTAAACATAAGACTTATCCCTTTCTCTTTTGTTTCTTCTTCTTCTTCTTCTTCTTCTTCTTCTTCTTCTTTTCTGCTTCTTTTTAAACAACTTGTTCCTCACTTGTTCCTACGTTTTCCTTTAAATTGATTTTGTCGCAAAAAACGCCCTACTCTCAAACATTCCCAAGATCCTCCTCATTCAAACATTTTTATCTCAATGTTGCTTTTTTATCTTTTTATAAACATTATATTGTTTATTTTTTTTTATCGAAATCTAATTTTTATTCCATGTTAATTAATTTTCCACACAACCACTTCCATTTTGGCTCCCAACATTATTTCAAAATTTTCTTTGGACACGTGCGAAAAGGTTTAATAACGCCAGAACAATAAGGACTCTCCCACACCTGCTCGAGTGCAGAGATGCTGTGTAGGTGTAGTGAGAAGAGGAGATGAAAAAAAGGAGACAACATGATGATATTACTTTTTAAAAAGTTATTTCCCCCCAATAATGTCAATATGAAGTAAAGCTTAACTGGGAGTGGTAGAGAATAAGAAGACATTAGTGAGGAGAAAGGACAATAAAAGAACAGTTCACAGGAAAACCAAATGATATTTAACGTTGCAGAATGTTTCGTTCAGAGAGATATTTCGAGAGATCAGTGCAGCAAGCTGCCGCGTGCTTGCTGCAATAAACACTGGTATCTAATCTCTACGCTGGTTCAAATTCTTGTCTTTAGATTTAAATGTACTCTTTTTGGAGATGCGATAAACCTCTTTATATATATATATATATATATATATATATATATATATATATTACGTGTAATAGGAATTAAAATTACCTCATAGTTATGATCATTTCACCTTACGAATTAGGATTTACTCGCAAGGATTTTGTTTTATCTTATTACCTTATTCGCTTTAAAAATCCTTGCGAGTAAATATCAATTCGTAAGGTGAAATAATCAGAACTATGAGATAATTTTAATTCCTATTGGATGTAATTTATATGCTCTGTTAGAATAAATACATTGAGCTCTTTTGTGGATCAGTGTTAATATTTTGTACTATTTGGATTCACTTGGCTTATATGTCAACAGATTTATTGCCTTTTATATATATATATATATATATATATATATATATATATATATATATATGAAAAATTAATTGAGATTTCTCGAGAGAAAAAAAGGAGAAAAATAAAGAACACAGTTTTACAAATATTGATATTTCAAACACGCGAAAAGATCTTTCACAAAGAATAAAGGAATATATCCGTTATTTCTATGGAGAATATTTTTTAATCATTTCCGCCAAGCAAGGCGATAATGTCACTAAGACGCAAAGGGTTACTGGGAATGAGAAAGAAAACTTTAGTGAAGAGAAAGGACAATAAAAGAACAGTTTCAGGAAGATAGAGACGTTTCATTTATTTTTTTTAAGTAAGAAACAGGAAGAGTTTCCTACAAGCAAGAAGTGAAGAAACGAAACTTACCGTTTCATCTAGTCAGTTTTGTGCCATGCGATCATGTATCTTTTGATACATGACTGACGACGCAGTTTTTTTTTCCTGTAGAAGGTTTTCATTTCTTTCTGCGGTAGACCAGTTACCACCCAAGGTTATAGAACCTGTTATGTCATGCTATTTATCAGTAGGTGCAGGAAGAAGAAGAGGATTCATACCTTTCCGAAGGGTATCAGCAGGTAAGTGAATGTAATGGATTCGACTGGAATTCGAAATCGGCTCTCCATCTTCATTGACCATATATACATCTTAAAAGACAAAAGTTGAAATGAATAATCCGTTTCTCTGTTCGCCACTCTAAATTAATCAGTTATGTGCCATGCACGATATATGCTTAGGTGATCATGTATCTTTCGATATATGACTGACGAGGCAGATTTTTTTCCCGCATTCGGTTGCCATTTCTTTCTGTGCTAAACCAGTTGCCATCCGAGGCTAATGAACCTGGTATGATATTCTATTTACCAATAGGTTCAGGGAGAAGAAGAAGAAGAAAGATATTACCACATAAGTGCAAATAATGGATTCGACTGGAATTCGAACTCGGCTCTCCGATTCCTCAACCCGAGCCGCTATCCATTACCCCACCGTGTCGATCTGGTAGCACGCTTAAATTAATGAGATCGAGTTACCAGTGAAGATGGCGCATTAGGAAAAAATCTTCAATGAAAATATTTGTAGAAATGCAATGGGGAAATCACGTTTTATTTAAAAAATCTATATATATTATAGTTGCTCTAGACCAAATGTGGCTGTCATGTTCAATGCACGGACGAATGGCAGATTTGTAAATGTTAAATATGGATTCTGGCGAGAAAAATATCCTGGTCCGACGAAGTGAAACATATTTCGTAGCAGTAGACCTTAACAATGGATTTACCCTTTCAAGTTCATAATCGCGTAATTGATGTATACAGCAAAAACATATTATTGTTCGTTTCAGTAGACATATCTAAATGACTTTGACTTAGAAAAATAATATAATTGAATATATTATTATAAATAAAGCAATGGGATACTATGTTTGCTTTATCTCATATCAATTCGTTTTGTGGACGATTATGTCCCGCAGGATGTGTTGAAAATATCTGTGGGACACATATGTCCCAGGTGTCTGGGAAAGATTAAATATAATCACTCCATGTCATGTCAATTGAAAACTTGAAACCAAGAAAAAAAAAAAGGAAAGTAGAGGAAGTGAAAGATAGAAAGAAAAGCGAAGAAAGAAAGAAAGAAAGAAAGAAAGAAAGAAAGAAAGAAAGAAAGAAAGAAGTAAACCTTAGGAGATGAATATTGTGCGAAAAAAAGAATTATGAGAAAAAGAAGGATGTATTAAAATGTTCAGGGCGGCATTTCAAGTCATTAAATCAGCTTCTATTTACATAGATAAACAGTGGATATTGTCCAAGATACACGATGTATATTATTAGTTGATGACTGACAATATAACGTAAGTTTAGAAATAATTAATAAAATGGCGGATGGCCATAAAACAGTGCTGAAAAAAATGACAGAGGCCATAACGGAGCCTCAAAATAAGCCCCGGTCGGAGCTTTCAGAGGTAAGATGCGCTGGACATTTATGCGACATTTTATAATGGCAGTAGACTGATTGAGTTGTTTCGATGAAAATCTGACGAAAATTAAGATGAAAAACAAAATTAAAGTCAAAAATTAATAATGGTTGATAATATTTCAACGCTTTCAAGTCCACATTGTCGTAATTGATGTATACAGCAAAAAATATTATTGTTCGTTTCAGTAGAAATATCTAAATGACTTTGACTTAGAAAAATAATATTATTGAATGTATTATTATAGATATAGCAATTGGACACAATGTCCGCTTTATCCCATATCAATGCGTTTTGGGGACAATTATGTCCTGCAGCGATCTTCCTCTTCCTCACTTTCCTGATAGCTATCATCATAAAAAAAAAATTTAGATGTAATGTCAATCGACATCTTCTGTTGCCTTGGACCCTGTTCTTTTTTCTTTCTTTTTTTTATCCTCCTCCGTTTTTCATTTTATTTTTTTTCTTAACACCACTATATGCATACTTTTCAATTAATTTCACACTCTGTAGTCCTCTTCCTTGCTAATAGCCCTCTCGCCTTGCTTGAGGTGAATTGCTTTAAAAAAAATGGAATATCTGCCGAACATTTGACACTAGTAAAGTTGTCTGGTTTGGAAGCAAAGAATGGAGAGGAATTTTTGGAACACTTTTTTTTTGTTGTAAATTTGCATTCATAAAAGTTTCCTCTTACCAAGACATCTTTAAGAATCGAAAAAAAAATTTTTTTTTTTTCATATTATGACGGTGCTGATCAAAATAAAAATATAACATGAAATCTATCCCTGATTTCTTAAAGAGTTATGTGTACTTTGTTTTTATTTACTAATGTCAAGTTTGAAACTATGATTAAGGCATAAATAATTGCGGGCTACTAATGAACTGGGAAAAGGACAGAATCAGAATTAAGCAGTTATCCATCACGTAAGTTGAGTTTTCAACTTGATTTGTAAATAAAATCAAAGTACAGAAAATTGTTTTGAAAAAAAAATCAGGGATAGATTTGGCATTGTATTTATATTAGAAAGGGGACACCCACTTTCTAAAAGAACAAACTTCAATATTTATCGATTGGCAAAATGGTCGTAGTTTGAGGAAAGTCTTATGAACGAAATGATATTTCCAAATTTTTCCTGTTTTTTTACGAGATGACCAGTCGAACTTCAGTCGGGCCGAAGTTTTTAAAATTTATAAATACGAAATAGCATTTTTTCTTTGTTTCGATCAAGGATTTTTTACAAAACTATTTTGATTAATTCAAAGAAAAGCACCAATATCTCCTTACAGAATTGCTGAAAATAAGAAATTCTTGAACTTTGAACGACCCATAGATGTTTTTTTTTGTTTTTGTTTTTGTTCCCAAAACCAAAATCAAAATGTATGACTCCTCCTGTATGGTGTGTGTGATTCTAAGAAGCTGGTTACAAAAGCATGAAAATTACTTCCCTTACAACATTGGCAGAATTCTTACTCAATTACTCGGTTAATTAGGATGTGTAAACACGTACAATTCCAAGAGTCTGATAATTAAGAGAGACAGTGACTTCATTTGCTGAAAATCGGTATTCAAATTCAAGAGGAAAATAGTTTCTTTAGCGTCAAAGTTTAGAATTATATAACAGAAACATGGTGTATTGGATACAGACATATGATAGAACAGAGAGTGAAAGAGAAACGGAAGAAAGGAGAATATATATATATATATATATATATATATATATATATATATATATATATATATATATATATGTGTGTGTGTGTGTGTGTGTGTGTGTGTGTGTGTGTGTGTGTCATTGCAGACATTACTGTTTCTGCTGCACCACAGCTACTCAGTGCGACTAGACAAACTGAATGCCTCAAGCCCTTACTGGACAGAAGTAGTCAGCCAAATCTAGCGTATTGTTTTTACAAACGTAAACATCAACATATATATATATATATATATATATATACAAAGAAATAATCACACATAGAATCAATCAGAAGTATTAATGCGATTATTGGCGACATCCATCGCTAGAAACATTAATGTTAATCCATAGAGTGAAGTGATCCTCGTCGATAAACTTGATGGCTGTAGTTTTCAGTTTATTTGATGTTAAATTGCTAGTACTTACGAATAGTCCTCTATTCATCATCAGGCATGTGTGTTTTTACTTATAAAATCAAAAACTTGAAGACGAAATACTTGTATGTCGACCGAAAGATGTTTTTTGAATATCTGCTATTATTGACGGTTGTGTAAGATCTCGGAACGTGCAAAGACGCAACGCTAAGTTTTTCAAAATTTTAAGTGAGAATTTTATTTAAATATTTCTTGTGATGTGTTAAATCCACGTATTCTATTTTTACAAGTGTATTCAGTTTTTATGTCATGAACTAAGTATATATATATATATATATATATATATATATATATATATATTTCTGAGATGAGAGGTATTATGTACATTATTTGCAGTATTCGGACTATTGTCCTCATCTTTGTCACCATATTCGTGGAAATAATCAAAGATGTTCCCATCCTATCCCGGTGAGCTTGGACGTGGTGAGTTTGTTCACCAAGGTACCCACGGAGGAGCCACTCTCAGTACTCAAAGACAAAATGGCCTCTGACGAAGAACGGACCAGTATTCCAATAGATAATCTGATGGAGATGTTGACTTTCTGTACGCAAACAAGAGATTTCAGGATAGGATCACACATATATCGACAGGATGAGGGCTTAGCAATGGGCTCGCCATTATCACCAACAATGGCGAATATATACATGGAATACTTTGAGGAAATGGTATTAGAATCTATATCTCTAAAGCCAACTCTATGGTTAAGGTAAATAGATGATATCTTGATACTCTGACCACACCAGGAAGACGTCCAGACCTTCGATACAGTTTAAGATGGAGAAAGAGTGTAACAACACACTTCCATTCCTGGATGTTCTAATATCTCGAACAGAGCATGGGTTCAAGACATCCGTAAACCGACATTCACCGAGCAGTACCTCAATTTCAACTCCCGCAATCCAGACCCAGAGACATTAGATAAAGAATTGGTCAGTATAAGTAGTACCCTACAACGTAACAACTAATCTGGGTACATGGCAGCAGCCTCAAAAAACTGGGATAGGCGGGTACAAGGGGAGGACAACAACACTCAGAAAACAATCTGTCTGCCTTATGTGAAGGGGTTATCAGAGAAAATACAAAGGATCTGCGGTCCATATAACATCAGGACAACCTTCAAAATCTGGACGACACTTCGTAGATATCTCTCCCAAGTAAGACCACCCATAGAGGAGAACATGACTAAAGACTGTGTGTACACTATCCCGTGCAGATGCGGAAAGAAATATAAAGGGGAGACAGGCCTCCCTTAAGGTAAGACTGATGACATATGGAGAGGAAAGTTAGAGAAAAGTGAGATCACCACCCTCTGTTGTGATCATAGACAAAGAACATCATTGGAAAATTCGTAAACTTAAGGAATCAGCACATATGCTAGGCCACAAAAATCTCATGAGCCGACCAAGCATAGAAATGAATACAATATGGGGACCAGTAATAAGGAGTTCCAGAGAAAATCGATAACAACAACAAAAATTGCAATTTGAGCTCTGGTAAAAACATGCAATGATAACAGCAAAAATTGCAATATGAGCACTGGTAAAAATGGCTGCTGATGACATTAGGTTTATAATCCTCAGAAATACATACAAATCTGCCTTCAAGTGGATAAAGGCGTTAATTAGATCCAGTGACAGGACCCAAAGAGTGTGAGTTCATAACCTGGTTAAGGCAGTGGAGAACTTGAAGAGGGAAATTAACAGGACTTAACTGATAACTGACATCTATCAAACATGGCACGTGGAACTAGAAGAATCTACCCCAGTGAGCGAAATAAAGGGTTCAGTTCGACATTCCAACAACCTGAAGATGGCCTGAGCATATAACGGCCGAAACGTTGTGATGAATAGCCCGAATAATGGAAATAATATATATATATATATATATATATATATATATATATATATATGTATGTATATCGACTAGACATACAGAAGTGGAAAGATCGATAGATTGATGATGATGATGACGTAGATACATACATATGAACAAAATATCATAGATAGATTGAGAGATAGATAATGTATTAAGTTGGATAGATAGTTATATAGAAAGATTGGTTTTATCTATCTACATAAATCGACTTGACATCGATAGATAGATAGATAGATAGATAGATAGCTGAAGATGATGATGATGATGATGATGATGGCATGCATACATACATAGATATGAACAGAATATCAATGAAATATAGATGCATACATACATATATATGGATAATGAAGAAATAAGGATAGATAGATAGATAGATAGATAGATAGATAGATAGATAGATAGATAGATAAGAACAGGCAAGGATAAGATACGAATAGGCAAGGATAGATAGATAGATAGATACGAATAGGCAAAGATAGATAGATAGATAGATAGATAGATAGATAGATAGATAGATAGATAGATAGCTGAATATGATAATGATGATGATGTTGATGATGATGATGATGATGATGATGGCATGCATACATACATAGATATGAACAGAATATCAATGAAATATAGATGCATACATACATATATATGGATAATGAAGAAATAAGGATAGATAGATAGATAGATAGATAGATAGATAGATAGATAGATATCCCGACTTTAATTAACCCCTATCATTGTTTCTCTCAACGTATGTCATTTCTTTCCACGTTAATCGACTATTTTTAAATTTAACTCTCCTTTTATTCATTTCCCATTTCCGGGTCCGTGGCAAACAGAATCTCCTTCAAAGCAAGCCCCACCCACGTCGACACACCAGATTCGCTCCTTCTCGCACTGACTAAAGCCAATACCTTTCACATCTCTCGCTGAAGCTAAATCCACCACACTGACGTCTATATTCCTTTGCACTGTCCGGAATTTGAAGGTTTACCTCAATGCACTCACGTTGAAGTAAGAGGGTAGAGCATTGGACCAACTTCCAACATACATTGGTTTTGATGACCCCGTACTATGTAGGGAGTGATACATTTTAGAGAATGCTTTCGTGGCAAATTTAGTGTCTAGAGGAGGAGAAAAATGCTAGTGTTTCCAGTTAAAAAAAATATTGTTACAACAATTGTTCAACGTGACATTGAGGCCAGTTACACTATTTACATCATTCGACTGTTGTCATCATTACTGTCATATCCACGGCGTTTCGGCTGTTGTACGCTACGACCTTCTTCAGTATCCGTCTATATTCCTGAGATGAGGTATTATAACTATTTACGCTCTTTACATTTTTCTGACTGTTGTCCTGATTGTTATTGCCATATACACGACGTTTCGGCTGTTGTACGCTCCGGCCTTCTTCAGTATCCGTCTATATTCCTGAGATAAGGTATTATAACTATTTACGCTCTTTACATTTTTCTGACTGTTGTCCTGATTGTTATTGCCATATACACGGCGTTTCGGATGTTGTACGCTCCGGCCTTCTTCAGTATACGTCTATATTCCTGAGATAAGGTATTATAACTATTTACGCTCTTTACATTTTTCTGACTGTTGTCCTGATTGTTATTGCCATATAGACGACGTTTCGGCTGTTGTACGCTCCGGCCTTCTTCAGTATCCGTCTATATTCCTGAGATGAGGTATTATAACTATTTACGATCTTTACATTTTTCTGACTGTTGTCCTGATTGTTATTGCCATATACACGACGTTTCAACGATTGTACGCTCCGGCCTTCTTCAGTATCCGTCTATATTCCTGAGATGAGGTATTATAACTATTTACACTAGTTACATTGTTCTGACTGTTGTCCTGATTTTTATTGCCATATACACGACGTTTCGGCTGTTGTACGCTCCGGCCTTCTTCAGTATCCGTCTATATTCCTGAGATAAGGTATTATAACTATTTACGCTCTTTACATTGTTCTGACTGTTGTCCTGATTTTTATTGCCATACACACGACGTTTCGGCTGTTGTACGCTCCGGCCTTCTTCAGTATCCGTCTATATTCCTGAGATGAGGTATTATAACTATTTACACTAGTTACATTGTTCTGACTGTTGTCCTGATTTTTATTGCCATATACACGACGTTTCGGCTGTTGTACGCTCCGGCCTTCTTCAGTATCCGTCTATATTCCTGAGATAAGGTATTATAACTATTTACGCTCTTTACATTGTTCTGACTGTTGTCCTGATTTTATTGCCATACACGACGTTTCGGCTGTTGTACGCTCCGGCCTTCTTCAGTATCCGTCTATATTCCTGAGATGAGGTATTATAACTATTTACACTAGTTACATTGTTCTGACTGTTGTCCTGATTTTTATTGCCATAAACACGACGTTTCAGCTGTTGTACGCTCCAGCCTTCTTCAGGATATGTCTATATTTCTGAGATGTGCTATTGTAACTATTTACAGCATTCCCATTGTTCGAATTGTTGTTCTCATCTTTATGATCATATTCACGACGTTTCGGCCGTTGTACGACCCGACTTTCTTCAGAATCTGTCCATATTTCTGAGATGAAATTTTGTAACTACTTACATTATTTGCATCATTCGGATTCCTGTTCCCATCTTCATTGTCATATCCAGAACGTTTCGGCAGTTGTACGCGCCGACCTTCTTCAGTATCCGTGTATATTCCTGAGATGAGTTATTATAACTATTTACACTATTTACATTGTTCAGACTGTTGTCCTCACTTTTACTGTCATATTCACTACGTTTCGGCAGTTGTACGCTCTGACCTTCTTCAGTTTCCGTCTATATTCCTGAGATGAGGCATTTAACACTTTACACTCTTTACATTGTTCTGACTGTTGTCCTCATTTTTATTGCCATATTCACGATGTTTCGGCCGTTGTACGCTCCGATTTTCTTCAAAATGTGTCCATATTTCTGAGATGAGATATTTGGACTACTTACATTAATTACATCATTCGGGCTGTTGTCATCATCCTTATTGTCATATCCAAGACGTTTCGGCAGTTGTACGTTCCGGCCTTCTTCAAGATTTGTCTATATTTCTACGATGAGGTATTTTAACTATTTACAGTATTTAAATTTTTCTGACTGTTGTCCTCATCTTTATTCTTATATTCACGACGTTTCAGCTGATGTACGCACCGGCCTTTGTCAGTCGTTGGATTTTCGAATTGAACCCTTCATTTCATCCACTGGTATAGATTGTTCTAATTCCACTTGCCATGCCTTTTTAGGATATTTCAATTTCAGTTATTTCCCTTTAGTGAATCAACTCTTGAAGTTTTCATTCACCTCTGCTGTGGTCAGGTATTGAACTAACAACACTTTGGTTCAAGTCTCTGGATTACTTTAAACAACGCTTTTATCCACTACTTGTAAAATAGTGATTCACAATGAACAAATAACGTCTGTACTCATTGTGAGGCGGAGTAAATAATTTTATATAATTGAACAGCGTAGAGATATTCAGCAACATTGCTGCGTTACTATAACGTCTTGGCTATATTTGGAATGAACGGTAGGGTGTCGATCGAGAAAATAGTTACAATAACAATGGTGCAATAACGTCAAGCGTCACCTATAAAGGTCAAATTGCTGGCTGATCTCATAAAATACCCAGAGTCTGTTGTTAACTGGAGCAAAGAATGGCTTGTTAATCTTAATGCCTCTAATACAAAACTGTTCTATTTTAATCATTTTAGAGACACCTTTTTGTCTTTCACTGGCTTGGCTGATGTTAACCTCCAAGAGAGTGATTCGTTGTGGCTTCTCGGGCTAACATTCTCGGCTGACATGAGTTGGAAAGACTATATTGCTAGGTCAGCTGCTAAGCGAGTTTATTCACTGTGTCTTACTAGACAAGTTTATTCACTGCGTCGTGCGAGATAAGTTTATTCATTGCATCGTACTAGACAAGTTTATTCACTGCATCGTGCTAGACAAGTTTATTCACTGCTTCGTGCTAGATAAGTTTATTCACTGCTTCGTGCTAAATAAGTTTATTCACTGCGTCATGCTAGATAACTTTATTCACTGTGTCGTGCTAGATAACTTTATTCACTGTGTCGTGCTAGACAAGTTTATTCACTGTGTCGTGCTAGACAAGTTTATTCACTGCATCGTGCCAGACAATTTTATTCACTGTGTCGTGCTAGATAAGTTTATTCACTGTGTCGTGCTAGACAAGTTTATTCACTGCGTCGTGCTAGACAAGTTTATTTATTGTCGTGCTAGACAAGTTTATTCACTGTGTAGTGTTAGTTTTCTCTCCAGAATCTATCATCAGAAAATGACAACGAGTGTTCGTTGACATCACAAAAAGAACAGGTGTGTCAGAAATATGGAAAGCAAAGTCAAATGGTAGACTTATAAATATATATGATAGATTCTAGGGAGAAAAATGTTTTTAGTACGGCAAACTTTCTTGCAGTAGACCTGGCAATTAATTCAATACAGTCTTTCCACTTCATGTTAGGGAAAAAAGTTAGTTCTTCAAGCCGGAATGAATAACTTTGTTGGAGGTTAGCATCAGCCATAATGATAGATGTGAAATTCTACCAAAATCTATTCTCCATCAAACTATGGGTTAATTAGTAAGACTTTTATCACTAAATCATTATTATCTGTAAAAATAGAGAAAAACTTTCAATCTAAAAATATTTTCGGGCTTTAAATAACAAGCGTTGATAAACCTTAAAAAACAAATCAATCAACGGAATACCGATTAGCTAAACAGGCATGTTTTTTGATTTATTTACATTCTCTGGAATGTAAATGTAGAGGAACTACATTGTCCACAAATGAGGGATCAGTTTATATACTGATTGTAATATGGAATTTATCCCCCACTTAATGTCCACATTGATGATTTTTGACGAATCAGTCAATGAAATACTGATTAGCTTCACAGACATGTCTTTTAGATATATTTATATTGTCTGGAATGTATAGAAGGTACATTGTCCACAAAATGAGGGATAACTTTATATACTGATTGTAATATAGAATTCACCCCCCACTTAATATCCATATGATAATTTTTTGATTTTTAACAACCGTAGAAAACGAGTCAGTCAGTCAATGAAATACTGATTAGCTTCACAGGCATGTCTTTTAGATTTATTTATATTCTCTGGAATGTATAGATACATTGTCCACAAAATGAGGGATCAGTTTATATACTGACTGTAATATACAATTGCTCCACCACTTTATATCTACATTACAATTTCTTGATTGTTTATCAAATTCTGATTAGTTATTAATTTACTCCTTCTCCCCCAGCTATGGATTAATTAGTAATATTTGTATCACTATGTGTAAGAGATCGTTATTTTCTTATAATATGGTGAATAATAAATATTGCATTGAAGTTGGATCACATATTGTTATAAACTTGTAAATATACAATCTAACAAAGTAAATCTTCATATGTTTGGTTTTTATCGGAATTGCCAAAAATAAGTTTAAAAAAAAAAATCCGTAAGATTATTCAATACCAGGACCTGGAAGGGGAAAAATGTCCTTTTAAAACAACATTTTTTACGGGTACGTGTGTTAAACATTACCAACAGAAAAAAAAAGACAACGTTTCATTCAAAAACGACTGTCGTATATATATATATATATATATATATATATATATATATATATATATATATATTCAAAGAATTAATCACACATAGAATCAATCAGAAATATTAATGCGATTATTGGCGACATCCATCGCTAGTAGTATAATGTATGCATTAAAATACTGTTAATCCATAGAGTGAAGTGATCCTCGCATATAAAATTGATGTCTGTTGTTTTCATTTTATGTGTTTTTGAAATGCTAGTACTTACGAATAGTCTTCTATTCATCATCAGGCATGTGTTTTTTTCCTTATAAAATCAAAAACTTGAAACGATATACCTGTATGTCGACCGAAAGATGTTTTTTGAATAGCTGCTATTATTGACGGTTGTGTAAGATCTCGGAACGTGCAAAGACGCAACGCTAAGTTTTTCAAAATTTTAAGTGAGAATTTTATTTAAATA